CGTCCTCCACAGGAGGGGTCTTTGTCGTCGAACAATCACTCCGTTCATTATTACTAGTCCTTTCTCCCCTTGTTCTTTCAAGGTCGCCAGCTCCGCCTTCAGCGCCCTCCATTTCATTCTCTCTTGTACTGAGTAATCCGGTTGAAAAAAAAGACCTCTATGGCCAGGGATCCCCCCTACTGTTCGTTCTAGTAGAAGATCCCTCTGGAGTTTACTTTCTTAAACTATCTTTAAAGGCCTTGGTTTCAGCCCTTGAGAGTTCGCGCTATCTTTACTGTTTAGTCGGAAAAGTTTCAGAATCTTAATGGCTTCATCTTCTTTTATTATGCCATCCAGACACCCTTGCAAGGTCATGATATCATCATTTATCCTACATCTGGGGTTATCGTTCGTTGATTCACGAAGTCCATGGACGACTATGCATTGTGATCTGTCCACAGCACCTCCATTCGACGAATTTTGTTGAATAATTGGTCTGACCGATGATGATGACGATTCCGCAAGTTGGGCTTCGACGCTAGTAGCAGGAATATTCGTGAGAGTATGTACTTTCACTCCCACTCTGGGTTCATTTTTATTCGGTCCTGTGTTGGTCGACGCTTCCCTCACACTAGGCTCAGGAGGTGCGCATACTGTCTGGGGACTGGTTTCCTCTTTCGTCGGTCCATCTTTATCATTTTCCTCCTCGGCCCTTGGTTTCTTTTCTGGCGAGTCTGACACCTTCGCCTTCGGATTTTTGCTACCTTTCTCCATAGTCTTTCCTGTCGCCTTTTTCTCATTCTTTACTGATTTTGGAGGTTTCACGTCACCACTGATAACTGGAGTCTGATACTGCTTATACTGGGTGTCTCGCGCTCTACTCCTCGTTACCCTGTGCGTGGATGCTGCCAACTGATCCTCTGTCATGAAAGTCTGCTGGATAAAATTCTTCATGTTTTTAACTTCTTCCTCTAGTTGATTTAACTTTGAGGCTAACGTTTGACAACCGCTGCAAGAGGTTTCCACATGCGTCGGTCGTAACCAATTTGTAAGGCTTTTAGAGCGACCGCTCAGGCGTGCGGCGATTTTGTGAGATGAAAACTGGAAAATGACGTGATTTGATATCGCTCGAGAAAAAAAATGTTTGAATTTATGATGACGTCTAAAATGAGTAGATTATGCATTCTACTTAAGTAGTTACGATAGGCGAGTGTGATTTTTGCGGACGGCCCGAAGAAAGCGTATCTGAAAGCCGCAACCGCCCGCCACTGTGATACCTTGGGATTCTATCAGGCCATAAGTAATAATAAAACCCCATCCAAGAAATCTTTTCTAGTCTAAAACACATTTCAGAATTTTGTCTGACGTTTCAGAGGATAAGTTGTCACTTGTGCATCTACTTGCCACCCAGCTTGCTTTAACAATTCGAGCCTGACTTTTAGGAGCAAAACTACTCACAACTGCATCCAAAGTTGGGCTTCCCGCAGTTTCTGCTTACAGAATTTGACAGTCTTCAATCCCGGGAAGAACGAAGGCGCCAGGACACAGGCGAACTCTTCATCAGCACGCTGAGACGGAAGGCAGACGTTCTGCAGGCGGCATGTCGCGACTTTGCCAAAAAGGCCCCCCTCCTCCTGGAGAGTCTTCTGCTGCGATTCGACTCCCTGGTATGCAGCGACGAAATCCAGGATGGTGAGGGAATGTACTGACTGTTTTGGCGCCCGCTTTTCCTGTGCTGGGAGGTCAGATGTGGTTATGCAGCCCCACCTGAACCAAACAAACCCCAGCCGCCTGTAATAGACAGGAGCGGCGGTAATAGGGTTTTTACAGGTCGGGCCCGGGAACGCACATGCGAAGAGTTCAAGTAGTTTTATGTAAAAGAAAAGTTATTGGGAATGCCCGGTTGTACCTGGAGTGGTTGAGAAATAGTTGCCCTAACCCGGAACCCTTACCCCTAAACCTAACCGCTAACCCCAACCCCAACAGTATTGTGTCCATCAGGTGGGGTTACGTAACCGCATCTTACCAGATTCCCTTAAAACGTGCAGTTCCGCTTCCGCAGCAAAGATCTGATATCAAAACACACCTCGCCTTGATATCAACTCTGCCCTGGCGTGAACGATTTTCGGGTGCATCTGTGAGTTGGTGCATTCGCTCAAATTGTAAAGTGCGAACGCTACTCACGATGGGCACTCGATTATAATAAGCACAAGTAATACATCGGCGTGCCCTTTTGTGCCCTTTAGCTTTCCAACAACCTACCTCAAAGTGAATTGAGTCAAAACCAAGAGGATGAGTGGGCGAATCTATCCTACAGCGTATAGAATTAATATCCCCTGACGGCAGTCAAATAGGGAGGAACAAACCAGCCACGAGACGGTGGCGTGAGAAAGACTCAAAATTAGCCGTCCCTTTTGGCACCAAGACAAAGCACTTTGTTTCCCAACAGGCCCGCTCTCATCGTGAATTACGGCCTCAACTCGTCTCTGTATGCCGTCGGTCGCATTTGGGCCAGTTTATGGTTTCCATTCAGCCACGGTGTCTTAAACTGTATTTGGGTCGGATGTGGTTATGGAACCTCATCTAAAGTAAACAAACCCCAGTCACCTATAAAACGGGACCGGTAGTAAAAGGAGTTTTTACGGGTGGAACCGGGGTAAAGGACAGGCGACGAGGTCAATTAGTTGTATGCAAAAGAAAAGATATTGGGAATGCGCGACTGTACTCTGAATGGTTGAGAAATAGTTGTGCTAACACCTAACTATAACCATCAATAGTAGTGAAAATCCGATTCCCAGGTGGCATATCAAAAGAAGAGTGAGCGTTCACCGGGAGGGGTTTATTTGAGATCCGACGTTTCGGGTAGTTTACTCGTCTACCCATCTTCAGGCCGGTCAACCGCCATCCTCGACAAGGTGGACTACCGACGCAAAGCCCTCCTGCTCCTCAACGATCGAGAGTCTTACAAAGTCAGCGAAGCCGCCAGTCTAAAGTCCCTAGTGGCAAAGGTTAACAGAATTCTGGCTCGACTAAAAAAGGACAAGGTCATCACCGTCAGAGACTGGTATATGGCAAAGCCCGCAGAAACCGCTATGGCGAGATTCTATGGTCTCCCAAAAGTACACAAGCCAGATGTTCCCCTACGTCCTATCGTCTCGCTCCGAGGCACACCCACATACGGGCTTGCAAGCTGGCTATTTCAGAAGCTAAGATTCCTAACTGCAGGCTCACAAACAACGGTGCACTCAGCAGAACAATTCCTTGACAAAATAAGGGCAGTCACG